TTGGGGATGGCCTCTTCCTGTTCTAACATGACTGTGCACCAGTGTATAAAGCAAGGTCCATAAAAACATGGTTGAGTGAGTTTGGGGTGGAGGAACTTGACTGCTTGCAAAGAGTCCTGACCTCATCTAGATAGGGATGAATTATAGCTGTGTCTGCAAGCCAGGCCTTCTAGTCCGACATCAGGGCCTGACCTCACAAATAAACACACTCCTAACCTTTTGGACAGCCTTCACAAAAGAGTTGAAGCTGTTTTAGCTGCAAAAGGTTGGCCAACTCAATATTGAACCCTACGGACTAAGACTGGGATGCCATTACAGTTCATATTAGGGGTGGACTGACCATTTGGAAACTCGGGCACTGCCCGAGGGCCCAGGGTCAGTATGGGCAAGGACACAGGGGCCCCATGATCCTCTATTGCCCGGGGGCCCCATGAGTTGTCAGTACGCCCCTGGTGCATATGAATGTAAAGGCAGGCATCCCAATACTTTTGGCAGTATAGTATATATATTTTTTTTCACCTGGAACAAGACAGAACTTTGTTCTGTCACCTCTGGCACTGCCCTATCCTAACCGATCTGTCCCACCTGTAGAGGACATTTTCTGCATTACTCACTTCTTTGAGATGAGTTGCACCAGCCTGAGAAGTTGGCAAAGGAAGGTCACACACCTCTCAGAGCCAGCACCTACCCATTACTTACTTATAGATGTTAGGATCACTTACAAAACTGATCAATTTCAAATTTACTCTATGTCTAAAAATGAAAAACTGTAATTCTCCTTTTAGGACCAAAGAGTTATAATATCTGATATCTACAGGGCACAACATGTATCAAATGACATCATTGACTGACCAGTTGTGCTTCTGAAAAGGTATACCCCTTGCTGTGTAACTTCAGACCTTGTTATTATCATTATTATTATTATTTTTTATTTATTTATTAATATTTTTTTTAATGATTCAGAAGTGAGAAAAATACTGTTAATAATTAAATGGCTGACATTTTTAATGTAACATATGCTAGAAGGATAGAGATAGAGGTAGAATATTAGCAACCAATAATTTGCCCAATGGCTCCTTGGGGGTGGAGAAAGCAGCTCTGACTCTTATCAAGATTGCCTCCCCCTGTCAACTTATGTATCATGTGAAGCACTGAACCTTGTTCTTTGTATTACCTAGAAGACACTTTTGCATAGGACAGGTATATTAATATTGTTAGCCCACATGTACACTTTCCAACAAAAGAGTTTATCCTCTTACCTGTCTTGTTTTACAGTATTACTGAAACCAGTTAAAGCTGTTTGAATGTGGAATAACCAGAAATAATACTGTTAATTCAGGATTGCAAATTATTCTTCTGAGAGAACAGCAGGAGATTTATCTCCAGAGAAAAAAAGATATATACATCTGTTAATAATAACATAGTCATTTCCATATCTTTCCTTTTCAGCATTATTAAATGTCTTCATTACTATTTTTCTCTTTCCTTCCACTATAGGGCTATAGGGCTAGTAGAAATATGCCTACACTCGTGTTGATAACCCTTAGAGAATACATTTACTTTACTTTTCACTATTGTTTGTGAATAAACAAATGGATTTCACTTATGCTTTAAAGCCTTTGTCAAGTTTGCTTTTGCTTTTTTAAATTTCTATACTCCCCCCACCCTCTTTCCCCATGCCTCCAATACAAAAATAGAAAGGTTTTCCAAACAATAAATGCTTTACACTACCCTCTAAATCCTCCTCTGTGGTCCAAACACTGGTCTTTTACTGGGTAAAATGACACCTATTGTCATTTAACACCATTCTGGTAATCCCTGTGGAAGAATGATATACCCCTGGGGGGTTGCTTTATCAAGCCACCCTGGGCTTAAAGAGAAAGTGCTTCAGAGAACAGCAACATTCTCTGTAGTATTCATGACCTGTCACTACTGCAGGATGAAGACCTTGCACATCAAGTGCCTGGACCAAAGAGTAAAGGGTACATGTAGAGACCCTGTTGGAAACAAATGCCTGGGGGGCAGGTTGGCCTGTTGGGGGGGGGGGGGGGGGAGAGTAGCGACCTGGTGACCAAAGTTCCTACAGAGGTGACCTTTAAATGTAGTATCAGTGACTGTATATAACCAATATGTCACATTAATTAAAAATCAGACAGTCCAACTTCGGTCTTTAAAGCAGAGGTCTCCGAACTATGGCCATCCAGCTGTTAAAGTACTACAAGCCCCATCATGCTTCTGCACCTGGGAGTCTTGCCTGTGGCTGTCAGAGTCTTGTGAGGCCTCATGGACTTGCAGTTCCTCAACACCTGGAGGGCCATAGTTTGGAGACCCCTGCTTTAAAGTGTTACTAAACCCGCAACAGTAAAATCAGTCTGTATATGCAGTAAAGCATGTTTGTTATACTCACTGTGGATCCTAAGGGGATAATCCTCTGCATTGTGCAAAAAGGATGTTTTATCCTGTCTGCTCTGATCCTCCCCTTCATCCACGTTCTTCATTTTATCTCCTGATAGAACACAGCCTCAGGTACACTCTGCAGATGCTCAGTTTGGTTTGTGCTGCTAGAGAGTTGTTTTTTTTCCTTGGGAGAGCGCATGTGATCACAGGGCCAATCAGCACTGTCCAGACAGAGGGTCAGGGGTTATGCAATATGCAGTGAGAGGAGAATGAAAACTCCTCCTACCAGCTTTAACCAGTGCTCAGCTGGACACTGATAGAAGTCACAAGATTGCTCTAACTGCTGATGAGAAAAAGTATTTAGCAGTTTATATTTACTAAAATAATAGCATTTCCATGTTCTGTGTATTGTGGGAGACCAGATATAGTGAATGCAGGGTCCTGGGTTTAGTAACATTTTAAGGCAGAGCTTCAGTCCTCAGAAGAATTTTTTTTTTAAACCAGACCCAGGATTGCCTTTCCGTTAACATTAACAATTGGATATAGTTATTAGTTATAGCCTTGTAATTACTTTAAAATATGTTAAACTTTACCTGGCTCTCGAATGCAGGCAGGCGCCATGATGGCTGTGGGCATCTGAAGCCCACAAGTCTTTACTTCCTGGAGTTAGGGCTGCTGGCTATCCCAGCATGCACCACTCGATCTTACGCCTGCGCAGTACTGACACTGCTTGGCGCTACTTGTATACTGCAAGTTGCCATAACAATGGCGGGGACGGCGGAAGCTCCCTGCACAGGACTCTGGTAAAATGGCACCAAACTCCTCCCATTCACATCATTTCCTGTTTCAAAGTACCACGACACTTTATTATAGAGCAAAAACAGAGTTTAACCATAGATGCAGCTACAAACCTATAAACACTGCCATCCACTGGTTGAAGAATATACCTCTACTGAATACTGACAGTGATGTAGTTGTCATACAAAAATACAAGAACATTGTATTCCAACCAGGGGCGGACTGACCATTTGGAAACTCAGGCACTGACCGAAGGCCCGGGGTCAGTAGGGGGCCCCATGAGATGCCCCGGGTACCTTTTTCATAGGCTTTTTTGAGTTTGGGCAAGGACACAGGGGCCCTATGATCCCCTATTGCCCGGGGGCCCCATGAGTTGTCAGTCCACCCCTGATTCCAACACACCCTCTTCACAACTACTCCATATATTAGTCCCATTTCGGATCTCAGTTCTATGAATCTGTATCTTGTAAGCATTTCTGTCAAAGCATGTTGCTGTTTTTATTCCTATTTTCTGTCTTTTAACCACTTGCCCTCCCGAGGATTTACCCTCCCTTCCTGACCAGGCCATTTTTTGCATTACAGTGCTGCGTTACTTTAATTGACAATTGCGTGGTGCTGCACCCAAATAGAATTTACGTCTTTTTTCTCCCATGAATAGAGCTTTCTTTCGGTGGCATTTGATCACCTGTGCGTTTTTTTTTATTTTTTGCACTATAAAAAAAAAAACCGACAATTCACTTTTTGAACTGAATTACTGAAATAATTTAACTTTTTAATGATATTCTAATGCATTGAGATGCACCTGTATGTGCAGTGTTCACACCATACGTGGAACGGAGGACAGTATGTCCACATTTTTATGCAGCAAGACACATAAAACTGTATGTCATTGCAAGGAAGTTCATCACAACACTCTTTTGTGCGTACACTTGAATTAAATGTCATGATGTCAGTAAAGGAAAAATGGTAAACACTGCAATACTTTGCACTACCCTTACGCAATGCACACCAGTGCATGCTTGTTAAACAGGCCATAACAGGAGCCCACTGGTGTGAATGGGCCCTTGAAAGATTTTTTTTTTCTAACGGATTACCCTTTTAAAGCATGGACTAAAAAAGTATTGTTAGATTGTTTCTACAGGCAAACGTTTTTAACATTAATGCATTGACATGTGTGATTTGGTTGTTCAGATTTGTTTTTCAGCAGAAAATTTTATTTTCAAAGATTTGGATGAATCCGAAAAAACAAATAATGAAACTTTTGGATTCATTCTGATTCATTTCTATCATTTGGATTCATTGAGAAGAGTCGGTTGTTAAGAAGCGGGCAGCCGCCGCTCCTTAACCACTTGCCCTCCAAAGGATTTACGCCCTTCCTGACCAGGCCATTTTTTGTGATACGGTGTGCTGCGTTACTTTAACTGAAAATTGTACTGTCATGCAATGCTGCACTCAAATGAAATGTATGTCCTTTTTTCACACAAATAGAGCTTTCTTTCGGTGGTATTTGATCACCTGTGCAGTTTTATTTTTTTTGTTATAAACAAAAATAGACCGCCAATTTTGAAAAAAAAAATATATTTTTGACTTTTTGCTGTTAAACATGTCCAGTAAAAAATTAAAAAAAAACTAATTTTGCCATAAATTTGGCCAAAATGTATTCTGCTACATGTCCCAATACATGTCAATTAATTGGTTTACGTGAAATTTATACCATTTACAAATCACAGTATATATACTGGGATTTTTTTCATTTATTAATTTTTACTAGTAATGGCGGCAATCAGCGACTTATAGTGGGACTGCGGGACTGCAGCAGGCAATCTGACAGTGGGGGGAACTGACTTAGTGTCACTGACATCCCCAGTGACACCAATAAAGTGATCAGTGCTAATACAAATCACTGACACTGTACTAATGACACTGGGCAGGAAGAGGTTAACATGTGGGGCGATCAAAGGTTTAACTGTGTGCTGTTTTACACTGTGTGTCTGCTTTGCATGGCTGTGCAAATTGTGTGTGGAATTGTTAAATTGTGGAGTAGACGTTTTTATGGTATTCTCTGCATTCCTATAGCTTTAATAACCTTACAAGTCATGTGTGACAGGCTTTAAGGAGTTATTATTGTTTTACGATAGGTCAGAGGGAAGACTTTTTCATGGTTCATGGAAAAACAGACATCCTGCAGACCTCAATTAATGTTTTACAGCTCTGACCAGGTTGGGTTTGCTGCATTCTGTTGTCCCTGAATGAAATAAGAGGCTCTTTTTAAGTTTGTTAACCACTTGGTAACTACACTATAAATGACGGCTACAGCACAGTTACCCAGTTCTGGGAGGGCGTCATATGATGTCCTCCCAGAATGCACCCTCCCGCACACCCCCAGGGGCAAGCACCCGGCAATCTCCATTATTGCTGTGTCCTACGGACACAGTTGATCACGTGATGAGGTAAAAGGCCAATCACAGTGGCCTTTTACCACGTGATCAGCTGTATCCAATGACACAGCAGATCATGGAGTAAATACAGCTGCCGGTTATTGGCAGCACTTTCCTCACGCTGTCACAGAATGAGGAAAGTACTGCCAATAACTGGCAGCTGTCACAGAGCAGATTAGCACTGATCATCAGGGCACTGATGATCAGTGCTGAGCAGTGCTGCCCAGCAGTACCATCCACCAGTGCCTGGCAGTGCCACCCACCAGTGCCCAGCAGTGCCTCCCACCAGTGTCCAGCAGTGCCACCCATCAGTGCCCCCCCAGAAGTGCCAGCAGTTGCACAAGGAAGTACTGCCCATCAGTGCCCATCAATGCTGCCCATCAGTGCCCAGCAGTGCCGCCAGTCAGTGCTTCCAGTCAGAGCTGCCAATCAGAGCCTTCAGTCAGCGCCACCCATAAGTGTCCATAAGTGCTGCCTATCAGTGCCGCCTATCAGTGACCATCATTGCTGCATATCAGTGCAGCAGCATCAGTGCCTCCTCATTAATGCCCACCAGTGCTGCCACATCAGTTCCACCTCATCAGTGCAGCCTACCAGTGCTACCTCATCGGTGCCCATCAGTGCTGCCTATCAGTGCCCATCAGTGCTTCCTATTAGTGCAGCCTTATCAACGCACATCAATTAATGATAAAAATTACCTGTTTGTAAAATTTTATAATAGAAACAAAGAAAAACTTTTTATTTTCAAATTTTTTGCTCTTTTTTTGTTTATAGTGCAAAAAAACAGTGGTGATTAAATACCACCAAAAGAAAGCTCTATGTGTGGGAAAAAATGATAAAATTTCATATGGATACAGTGTTGCTTGACTGCGCAATTGTCATTCAAAGTGTGACAGCACTGAAAACTGAAAAGTGGCTTGGGCAGGAACGGGGTAAAAGTGCCCGGTAAGCAAGTGGTTAAAAGTTATGGCTAGTTATGACTCTCTCCACTGTGTTGGAGAGGTTGTGGAGAAGTGGGTACACTATATCACATATGGTGGGAATGCTCAAAGATACAGGTTTTCTGGGGGAAAATCGTCCATTTAATGAGGAAAATTACTAAGATCGATATTAGATTGGATCCAGAGTTATGTCTTCTCCATATCTCTGAGCTTACAGTGAGATCATATAAGGATTCAGGGATTTGGTACTTTCTGAATGCAGCCAAAAGCTTGATCCCTAGGTTTTGGAAAAAAAATGAGGTGCCGACGGAAGAAGATTGGTTGATCAGAATTAATCAGTTATGTGAGACGGAAAGACTTTATTACACACACATAGACGGGATGGAGAAGTACTATAAAAAGTGGGGAAAATGGGAAGAATTTAGACAGAAAGTGAAATATACTTGATTTATACCTCCTGAAACGAATAATGTATTTTAGAAATGAGTTTTAGAAAGAAAAGGATAGTGTAATTTTTTTTTTTTTTTTTTTTTCCTCTCTCGGATTAGAAAAGAAAAGGCAGAGTGGGTTGGAGGGGGGATACGAGGATGGGCGTGGGAGTGAGGGGGGTTCAGGAGGGAATCAGGGTTGTGGGAATTAAATAAATTATGAGGAATATAATGATCTTTTAATGAAGAAAATGTTTGTTAATTATATCTGATTGAAAACCAATAAATATTTAAAAAAAAAAAAGTTATGGCTACAAAGTCCATGCAGGAGGAGGTAGGGTGTAAGATCAAAACAAAATGGCTGAGACCTTAACAAGATGGCTGTCGCGCAGGGGCGGACTGACCATTTGGAAACTCAGGCACTGCCCGAGGGCCCGGGGTCAGTAGGGGGCCCCATGAGATGGCCCTGGTACCTTTTTCATAGGCTTTTTTGAGTTTTGGCAAGGACACAGGGGCCCCATGATCACCTATTGCCCAGGGGCCCCATGAGTTGTCAGTCCGCTCCTGCTGTCGCGTACAGCTTCCATGTCCTTATTACGCACAATCATTACACCATCTACTGGTTGAAGAATATATCTCATGTGCAGTGTAGGTGAGGGCCCTAAGAAGGGCAAAAACGCAGAGTCTAAAGAATCATATTGCCTTCTCCAGAGCTCCTGAAGTTGGAGATGAGTTGGGCTGAAGGCGATTCTCAGGTTATATTTTTTCTGACTCACGCAAGCAGATGGCTATTAGAAACTAGGGGTTAATAAACAGATATGGTAAGAATCCCTTTCAGCTCTGAGGTGTGGGGATCACAGGACAGTTGGGAGTACAGATCAAGCTGACAGGTGTGCAAGGAAACACACAAACACTAGAAATAGGTGCACATCGGCACAAAGGACAACTACAGTAGGAGTGAAGAGCAATTCAAAGAGACAAACAGGAATCTCCAGGATCAGGTAGAGGTGCACGAGGACACCAAGCAGGATACAGACAGTGATCAGTCAGTGGTCTCTCTCCCCCATACACGGACAGGACACATCTGCAGGGAGATTGGTGTGGACGTGTCCTGTCTGTGTATGGGGGAGAGAGACCACTGACTGATCCATGACCGCCAGACCAGGGATAGAGCAATTAAATCCGCAGAATCCCAGGTGACTACAGGCTATAAGCAGCCCCAGTATCCAGAGAAGAGATATCCTTACCAGGCTGTACATCCATTCCACCTTAAAGGGGACCTCTGACAGACTTCATCATATATTATACATTGCGTATTTTAAATGTGCATCTGGTGAGTGCATTTTTACCACGTTCCGCACTTCACCGAATCATTGCTCATATGAGTTTCACCTTTATTGGAATACAGAATTCCTCATTTTAAGCACAAGAATTATTCCACATTTAAAGACTATTCACACTTATATGGGACATTTACTTATTGTTTATTGATATTTATCATTTTTAGATCACACATAAGTTCATTTTATGCTTATTGATTTTATTTGATATAATTCTAGGATTCACATATAATTCTTGGATTCACATGCACTTGGCACTTTATGTACTTTATCATTTGTATTATATGATTTTATAGCGCTACTCTCCTCTGTTGCATATGCTATTTTGAAGGTCACAGGTTCCTTTTTAGTGCATTTTGCTGCTGTATGATTTTCAAGCGCTCGCTGATTTTTTATACATACACTTTCTTGTTAAAAAATATAGTTGGACAATTGAGATTCCAGTAAACCAATATAATTTTTTTGTACTAGATAAAAAAGTGTAAAATTGATTAAAATAAGAAGAACGTTCAAATGTAAATAATTTATCAGAAAAGTTTGCAAACCAGTTTTTCTTGTCTCCATAGTACCACCTGTCACAGCAGTAAAAGTATTGATATATTATATCTGAGATAGTAACAAAGTCATACATCTACTTTAGTGATGTAGAGCCATTATTTGGATTTTTGTCAGAGGTGTGGAGAATCATCACATTCCTATGCAAGAGAACAGCAATTACACGTTTCCAGATTTATTTTCTCTTTGAATAGCACAGCAGTGGTATGCTGTACATGTTTACTTTTGAATTATGCTCAAATTATCAATAACTGTCTGTGAATAATATAGTTAGAACAGTGATTGGTGACTCAGTAATAAAACGGTCCCCCTCTGGAATTTAGTTTGTATTGTCTTGGAAATTCGCTTTAAAGAATTTCTCCTTACCGTGAGTACTCGCAGTTGGATGCGCAGAAATCCTCCATAAAGCTGTGCGAATCTCGCTTACCACGACTGCAGCTAAACTACACGATTCCTGCCCATCCAACTACTTTAGCTTCTGTTGAAATGTGGGTGATTGGAGCTCCCTATACCTGGAAATGATCACATGACACCTTCAGGTTGATGGTTGAATTCACATAAGGGCCGGCTTCAGACTCAGCCCTCGGTTTTATTACAAATACACACATGCCCCCCACATGAATAAAGTCAAACCCCTCCCACCGAACAATGCAATGGGGAGTGCCTATACACAGGATGTACATTCCGATTGGAGCATAGTCTTTCCTATTATCTATCACTGGTCCTCCCCCATGAGCCTTCTGAGGTCAGCAGACTTCCTCCCCTTCCCCCCATGAGCCTTCTGAGGTCAGCAGACTTCCTCCCCTTCCCCCCATGACACTCTATGGAGAGCATATTTCCCAGCTCCTAGCAGTATGTTCATTCTCTGTACAAGCATCCCCTAGGAACATCAGTCTGTACCTGGATGGGCCCGATACGATCTTTATCAAAACACATCCATCCAAGATACAGTTCAGGTCGGTAATGGGTTGTAAGATATGCATAAGCCTACACGCGGAGTTCGTACCGCTTGCGCCTTGCGTTATGAAGTCCATGTGGTACTATGCTGCTGATATGTGGATACAGGCCCGCGGTCTACTGCCAGCGGCATTCGCATCGAATGCAGTGGTGGTATACACACCGGTCTATAAGCGCAGATCCGCCATCTCATCCATTACCGAGCTGAGTACTGTAATACATACATTGTACATGCGCATGGCCCAATTGCAGCCTTCAGAGCTTTAATTAAGCCACACGAGAGACATATGAATAACAAGAATATATGACACATTTAAAGTCGACCAACAATACAAAATTTCCATGACATTCCCTCCTGTTTTATCATATTATCCTCGTGTCCCTTCTTGATCTTCTTCAGCTTGATGGGTGTAGTCTCAAAACCTCAAAGAGTTGGTCTTAGACCAGAG